GTGACCTGCCAGGGCAGCCGTGGTGTGAAGGACGGCCGGCCTGCCTGCCAGAAGCATCTGACGTCCCCCGCAAGCGGACCCCGAATCTCTGACGTCGGTCCGGGCGTTGCCTGGCCCGCACGTTCGGTGTCGAGGGGAGGGCGTGGAATGTGCAAAGGAACGCGTGGGGCTCCGTGTCCGGCGAAAGGGGAGTCGGGCGAAAAGCTGGAGGCGGTTGGGATATCGCTTTCGAGGTCGGAGCGCTGGGAGAGAGCGTGGTGGACGCGGGTGGGCGACTATGTTGAGCTGGAAGGGAGAGCGCCGCATCGAGGCTTGCCAGATTTACTTAATCACCTCGCTCTCCCTCCGCCGTCGCCCTGCCCCGTCCTCCCTCTCCCTCCGTCCCGCCGCCGCGTCTTCCGTTCCCCTACTTCACCCCCAGAGCCCCGCTCGCCGTCGAGCGTGTGCCCTACTAATTCTAATCCCTGTCCAAATCACACGTCCTCCTATCTTGCCTGCCCTACTACTCAGCTTGATAATTCGTCCGTGCCCCTCACCCAGCAAGCCCACCCACGACGCGATCGGCCTCGCCCGACGACCCCAGGATCCAACTGCGCCTCCAACCGCCCTTGTCTCCCGCCGTGCCCGTGCGATCCACATTCGAGTGCCCGTATAATAGTATTCCAGCCGCACCCCTGGGTCTTGGCCCCTGCGCTGTCTGCTTGTCCCGCCGAGGTCCGTGTCACTCTCGCTGCGCCCTCCTGAGCCAGCTCTTCGCGTGCACCTGTCTCACCCGTCCTCCGCGGACCCCCACGCACACACAGTAATGTACGTCCATCTCCGCAGTTTCTCCTCCCGCCCGATCGTCCTGTGCTCACCCGACGCGTCCCCGTCGTTCCTTGTTCCCCCCTCCGGATTGCAGTTATACATAGGCCGCCTTTCGTTGGCGCACCAACACCACCCACTTGCACGCTCTCTCTCGTCTCTGTATCCCAAGTCCCGTTCGCAGGCCCCCACTTTCGCACCCGCCCTTCTGAAGAGTACTCCCCGTATAATGGACAGCCTAGTTTCCCAGCACCCGGCCGCATACAGCCAGTTCGCGATCCAGGTCGACGCGCACGCCTTCCCCCCACCCTCCTCCTCCGCATCGTCCTCCGCATCCTCGTCTTCTTCACGATCGGCTGCCCACGCCTACCCTGCCGACGCTTACGATCACCGCTACGCCTCCTCCTCCCAACGCTACCCGGCCCCGTCGTCATCGTCGTCCTCCCAGTACCAGCACCAACACGCGAGCCCGTCGCTGCAGATCCAGACTGCGACCCCGGCGCCGCACGAGCACGAGCCCGACGAGCAGACTGCGCACCCGGCCCGCCTCGAGCAGCAGTCGCAGCAGCAGCAGTACCCCAACGCTGGAGTGGACGCCGAGATGCAGGGGCAGTCGATCGCGGACGCGCTGACGGACGCGCCGGGCCCGCACGGCGGGCTGAGCCGCCCGCTGACGCTGCAGGAGCGCGAGCTGCTGAACAACCTCGACAAGCTCAAGTTCTTCCTCGCGACCGCGCCGTCGCGCTGGAACTCGGACCCGTCCTCGTCCACCGCCGTCCCCCCGGCGCCCTTCGGCATGGCCCTCAACACCATGGGCGCCGCGATGGGCATGGGCATGAACATGAACGCGGGGATGAACGGCGGGATGGCGATGGGGCAGCTCGCGCCGGCGGGGCACCCGCACAGCACGCACCCGGCGCTGAACCGGTTCCTGCTCCCGAACCAGGAGTACGTGAGCTGCGTGCTC